TTGAAAATTTTCTAGGTCAGGAAAAGCGAGAAATTTTGTTGGAGTTTTGATTATTTTATTGGAGTTCTGAGTAGCACCTCAAGAATTCTAACGATAATTATTAAGGTTCGAAGCGCTCAGACCAATATATAAAAAGTTCTCGCAATTTTTTGTATCACCGATTGAAAATTTTCTAGGTCAGGAAGAGTGAGAAATTTTTTTGGAATTTTGATTATTTTATTGAAGTTCCGGGTAGCACCTCAAGAGTTCTAACGATAATTATTAAGGTTCAAAGCGCTCAGACCAATATATAACAAGTTCTCACTATTTTTCGTATCACCGATTAAGAAAATATTCTAAGTTCCAATAAGAATAAAATTTTTCTGGAATTTTATTTTTTCGTTGGAGTTCTGGGTAGCACCTCAAGAGTTCTACAAATAATTCTAATATTTTCAATTATTTCCGACGATTAAGCTGTTATCGTCAATTTTGTGATAACGTTTTGTGAAGTTAGCACCCCATACTTTCAATAATTGATTTTTTTGTCTAATTCGCCGGAACTATTTATAAATTTTATGGAGAACTCTAGAACTCTTTGGGGTGCATTCAGAACTCTAAAAAAAATTGATTTTTTTAAAAATGGGGTGCCAACTTCACAGAGGTGATATTTTGAAAGATTCGAAACTTTCAATCAAAATATTTCTAGACTTCTTGATCTTCAGTCCTGAGACGTCCCATCGCTACATGCAGAGTGCGCAACCAACTACAATCAAGCGTAAAAAGTCGTAGCGAATAAATCGACCAAGGAATACGCGCGAATGTAGAACTCCGCTGTTGCGGTGGAAATCCTATTTATGACGCCGAGTATAGGCACGGAGGAAGAAACGAATAAAATGAAGAAGCTGCAGAAGAACAAAAAGGAGCAGAAGAAGAAGACGGAGAAGAAACCATGAAAGACGAGAGAGCCTTGCCGGAGGCGGTCAGTGGCCCCTGATGCATCGGCTACCGCGTCCCATAGCGTCGCTTTGCGTCGACAAGTTCCATGGTGAATAATAATGGGAACTATGAGGAAAAGCACACGGAGCGAACTCGAGGCCCCGCTGCTTTTTGTCGCCGTCCGGCTGCGGAGATGAGGCCTGCGATCGGCGGTAATGAGGTCGAGACAATAGCGGTTCCACTGCGCGGTGCCGCCGAACATTCTTAACGTACTGCTTCACTTTCGAGAAGCCGACCGTTTCTCCGAATTGACTGAGGATCCGACAAAGAGTTTCGTTTCACAATGACGGGAATGTAAAGCTAAAAATTTGAAAATCTTCCGGCTCGTGACTCGGATTTTTAATCGTTTTCCTCTTCTGGATACTTGATTCTTGTGTTGCTTTAACTGGCTCTTTATGCCTTTGTAAAAAATGGCAGTAAAATTACAGATTCATTTCTTATCTACTTTTGCTTCTTTCAGTGACAATTAAAGTATAACGCATTCTTTGCTTTCCGTCACTTGTTATGTCTGGCCGCAAATTCGAATATACTGAAATCTATAAAAAAATATCGAAAATATGGAGAAAGAAGACGCGTATGATGTAAAACGCGGCGAGAATTCTGCGGAGAGGACAGGAAGATGACGATAATGAAGATGATGCGGTTGCAAAGAAGTAAAAGCAAAAGGTGGCCGGCATATCCGGTCGCGGGCTCTGAACGACGGCTTCGGGCCCCGAGAGGATAACGGCCTAAAGCCGCTCTGAGGCAAGACAGGTAAAGGCCGCGGAGATCGTCGCTCGTCGAGTTTTTGCTATCGCGACTCGCAGAAACCGTGTTGTTATCGTGCCGGTGCGCCATCAGTGTCATTGCGTTCAGATTATATTCTGCCGTAATCGGAGCATTATCCCTCACCAGCGCATGTTCTTTAAGCCACTGATTCCACCTTCATCCATTTCAGGTCGATTTGACAAAAAGATCGACTCGCACAACTTTTGAATATGTTGAAAACTATTGCGAATTGCAAGCTTCAAAAGGAAGAAATAACAGAAACATGTTCTTCAGCTCAATTTCCAATAAACTTTAAGCGCGACAAATGATAATCTTTTCGCCGAGAAAAAGATCGATTCAAAAATTGGCTGAAAAATCCGAAATTGATAGTTCCGTAATTTTCCTCGTCCTTTCCTGAAACTCGTCTTTGGATACGTAATCCAGAAACAATTTGTTTCCTGGAGAGCTTGTGCCCTACCGAGCCGAAGAAAGGCAGTCACGCTCGATAAAGCCAGTAGAGGACTATAGAAAAATAGCGGGAGTGTAGCGGAGGGGGGGGGGAGGGAGTTATTCCGTAGTAAGGGGGCAAGAAGTGGAAAGAGGGACTTGTCGAGGATCAGGTAGAAGGCCCTTGTCCTCCATTGTACCGCGGTCGAGCTGACGTCAGTGATAGATGGATACCTTTCCTAGCACACGCACACATGCAGTTAGCCACTATTAACTCAAGTTACACGCGAGTTACCGAACGGATGTCCTTTTTACACGCGTCAAGCGGCGAATATGTCGCGCGGCGAACCAGCTTCCCATCTTGTTCCGCAGTTCGCCGGATAAAATTGATATATTTCACACAAATATAAATATATTTGTCATATCTAATTATTAATACACGATAAAAGATCAACGTTGTTGATAAAAGAATGACAAAATCTCGCTACGTGACGCGTGCACGCAAATTTGAAGCCGTTATAAATGTAACGGATATTTCAGCTTTCTACATGTCACAAATGTGGTAGCAAAAACAGTGTCCATTTTGCGGGACGGCAATTTATGGTCGTCGAGACGGAAAAAATAGGGCGCGCGATTTGGCAGAAAAGAGAACGAAGCTCCTCTGGCTTTTCATTCTTATCTCCCATTATCTGCCGAGTTACCGATATCAATGCCTGGCGTTGTGCAAGGGAAATTCAATCAATGGCGGTCTGTCCGCATTATGGGCAGAGTTGCGTGTGCCAGAATCTCGGACGAGAAATTAACGGTTTGTCTTTTTCTTGTAAAAAAACCGGAGCGGCGCAAGCAACCTTTAAATTTTGATATAAAATTCCGATAAAAGATTAAAATAAATAATGTGATAACATTGTTGCGCCTTCAAGCAATTATATAGAAAAAAGCTAAAGTTGATCAATTAAAATTTAGTTTTTCAGAAAATAAATTAAAAAATTTTAAATAATCAATGTGAATAAACATATTAACTTGTACTAAGTACGATATTAAATATTAGCATTATAAAAAATTAAAAATTGCAAGATTTATTATATCAAATATTGACCTTCCATCGATCTTTTGTTAACAATATCTTCAATAAAAATGTTCAGAATCTTGATAAAATTTCTTAGTTTAAGACTCAAAATTCTCCGATTTCTCTTAACAGAAAAGATTCCTTGAGAATAATATATTTAAAAAAATTTTCCAGCTAGTAGACAATGTTTAACCTATAATTTTGCTGAAATATGTGTGTTTGGTGTATCTATACACATATTTCATTTTGACGTTAGTGCACGCGTGAGATAAAACACGGAAAATAAATGGGAAGGGTTAAGTTCTCGTGCGGCACGTGCTCGCAACTTTTCCTCTCCCCCGCAATCGAGATGAGAGGTCAACGGTTTAACTTCGTTCGCACAATTGGTCTGGATTAACGTCGTAATAAATCTCAATTAGGGTCGCTTCTACTCCACACACTCGACCGCTCTAGGGGAGATTTCGCAGATTTTCCCTCGGCGTATCAATCTATCGAGGGTTTTTAGCGCCAGGCGATAGCGTCGTTAAATAATCATCATAGAAGCTACGTGCGGCGTTTATAGCTATTGATATGTGCAATTAAATTATTTTGCAAATAATTTTTAGCTGTGTAATATTCATAGAGAGCTTCGGCAAGAAATAAATCTATTATCGCTGAAATACTTCTGCATATACAATATTTGAGAATTTTTTCAGGAACGTAAAAGAATAATATAAAAGAAATGTTTGTCGCTCAAACCAATGAATCTATTGAGCTTCGGCTATGAACCTTCTTTTCTTCTTTCCATCCCTTTTTCTATTGAGTTTTCATAGACCCTTTCCAGAATCAATTATATTTCACATCGTTATATCGGATCATTTTTTAATATATTCGGTAAAATAGTTAGAATAATAATTGTTCGCAATCGATATACGCTTGTTGACTGTTTTTAAAAACCGGTTGTTCTGCGAAACTACCGAACGCAGCAACGGAAGATTTGCAATATAAATCTATAATTTATAGATTATGATCGAGGCTCGGACTTACCAGTAGCGTGAATGCTACCGATGATACAGATGAGGCAAACACCGGCGAGGAGGCTGCGCGTCCTCGCGGAGGCCGCCGCCAGCCGCTGCTCCATCCTCTCACCTCGCCGTTGCGCGACGTTGACCTCTCCCTTCTCCTCCTTCTCTCTCCTCTCTTCTCTGTTTGCTCCTTTGCGCTCGCAGCCGCCGTGCGTAAAAGAAGTTATGGAAGCACACGAACTCTACGCCGAACGCAGCGATCTGCGGCGCGTCTTCATCTCGCGTACACTCGCGACTCGCATTCCGAGAAACTTGAGATATTCATATTCCACTGTTTGCCTTCGCTCTTCTCCACTTCTCCACCACTTTTTTGTCCGATGTGTCTATCTCGTCGAAGGTACTTTGGCCACGTTCTCTCACTTTCTGCATTCGAGGAAAGATGCGAAGTAACGTGCAGAAGACGCGGTTGCAACAAACGATCGAAATGACGCAAAAATCATGCTGCACCATGCATGAGATTTCCATCCGTTTCTGCCGCGTCCTTTCTCAAAGTCAACTTGGCATCTTCTTTTTTTTCAAAAAAAACATGCCTCACGACCGCTCACGTCGCGCTATGACGAACACATTCTTGTCGGTTCCTTTGCACGCGAGAATCTGCAAGAACACCGAGATGAAAAGGATCTATTGATCGGGATCGACCGGTCCGTGCTTCCTCTTTCCAGTCTCTTTCATTCACTTTCGAAGCTAACTTCACCGTCTTCACTCGGCAGCTCTTGATCGCCGCCAATTAACGCGATCGATGGGACCTCGACAATATTACGATCAGACTTCATTCACGTTAGTAGTTTAAACTCGCGCGAGATATTTTCGTCAGGATTTGCGTAAAAAGTCTTATAATTTCCATAAACGTTTGTGCGAGACACCACGTTTCACTACTGCGTTTGTGTTCACCCTGCGGGAAGGTAACGCGATGCGGACACTCGCGCACTCACCTGGTAACACCTGGCAACACCTGGCGAACACAACACCGTTAAATTACTTGACGGAGCTTCAAGGGACTCGTCAGAAGCGACAACAACTTTTCCGAAATTCGCTACCTTACACGCTAGCTATACCGTTGAACTGAATCTGAAGATTATATGGTCGGAGACGCATCGCGTTACTCGGCGAGAAGGCATCAACTCAAAACAGTGTGCATACCGAAGTCCGCCGCAACCGCTACTGATCAGCCAATCGTCGTCGAACGTCGCTTGAACTAGTTGAATTGCTGAGCTGCGTTCAGCAATGCATCGGCGATCAGCCAGAATCTTAAACGCAGTGCGCATGTGCGACGGGACGACGGCCAATCGGATTTCACAACAGCTAGGGACATGATAAATCTCGCTAAATGAGAATACAATCGAATTGCAGATATCTATCTAATAGATGTCTATGATTCAAACAGGTCGTTGATTTTCGAAATAGTTACAAGAATGTGCCACTTGAATATATACAAAATATAAAGAAAATAAATATGGCATGTGCAGGTAAAATCGCGACTGTTTACAATAAAAGAAATTTTATGTAGCAAACGTGAGACTAATTAATCACACAATCACCACATCAGGGACACTCAACTATTCTTACCAGATATAATGCCAGGTTACTTGCGTTGATTCTACATCGCCCTACAGCAAAGTTGATTATTAACTTCTCTGGACATGCAACTATTTGCTTTTTTTTTTAATATAGATAGTAATATCACGCAATAGTAAGTTACGTTTTAATTAATTAAATAGTATATTATCATATATATTTCAATATTTTTGGAATTTTTGCAATTTTGTCACACATGAAAAAAATGGATAATATGAATTGTTCTTATATTTTTCATATTTTTCGTCTGGATTTATCTATATATATTTCTATCTATTTTAGAGAGATAGATTTGTAATTTGAATGTTTAATAGTATAATAAATTATACATGCTATTACATGAATAAAAAATTCCTATTTATTGAAAATGCAGTAAACTTGGATTATAAAAAGAATAGAATTCTAAAATGCTGTTAAATAAGATAAATTTATCAAGAAACAATATTTGGTGCAGAAAAATTTAAAGATGATTTGTTTGAAAAGCTTCAAATGTTTGTAAGAATATAAACAACTTATCATCTGTAGACAAACTTAAGAGTTTAAATACAAACATGAGATAACACGGCAACCGGTGATGACGTCAGAATTAATTCCAGTACTAAAACAAAATAAATGAAAATATTTGTAAGGTTTTTAATACTAATAATGTTATAACAATAATGTAAAGTACCAAATGCACTACAGAGCATTAAACAATTTTATTTTATATATATATTCCATAATTTTCCATAAAGTAACATACCATAAGTTCCCATAAGTTAACATAACATAATATTCGGTGGCACTTACAATGCAGTATTGAAAATGAATTAAATCTTATGCAATTAAAAAATAATTTAATGATAGAAAACAATTCAATACAGCGTAAGTGGTAGTTACATATCTTAACAGTTACATATCTTATTTTTCGGCAGACGCGATACGACAAAAGTAAATAAACTGATGATTCATTACAATACCTACGCATCAGCAAGAAAATGTTACAAGTATAAGATAATATAGTCCATTGAATCATTTTATACAATATTTTACCACATGCATTTTACTACATGCTAAATATACAAAAATGTCATTGAGATTATAAGACATACATAAAAAATTCGCGAGACATTCAACGTGTTAATATGCGTATATTATAATAACAAATATACATTTTTCCTTAACGTTATATAAGATAAATTAAAAATAATTAGACAAGAAAGTTATATTATCAACTTGTATTTTAGAAGAACAGTTATCAAAAAGTTTCTTTATTTGTTCTATAAATAAAGAATTCATTCAAAGAGAAAGGAATATATAATATATAAAAACAATTAAAATAAGAATGCTTATTTGTGCATTAGATTTTAGTTTTGAAAGCAAAGTACAACTGTCTTGTCAAATTATTTTTTTATCGTCAAACTAAAATTATTTGTGATAACAATATGAAAGTTTTGATCGTAGTTGTAGTATCAGATACAACACCAGATTGAATACGTAGAATATAATTAACATGTTATATCTTCTTCAAATCTAACAAAAATCCTGCCGGTGGCGTAGTAAACGGATTCCGTGTTTCTACAGTAGTCAACCATTTCGGATTCAGCGCGACCTCGTAATCGCGCAGAATCGTTATCAGTCCCACGGCGGTTTGTAAAACTCCTAGTCGCATGCCTAACAACAAAGTTAGAAGAAATTTCATAAAAAATACAATGGACATGAGCGAAGTTAGAAATATATTTTTCTCAGTACCAAAAGATAATCCAAGATAATCATAATTCAAAATTTATATTCAAGAATATTCGTGCTTTTCCCAACGAACTCCTCATATTTTATTCCGTCTTATTTTAAATCTACCTACGCGAATGAACCAGATTCACTGACCTATACAATTCCGTGGGCCATCACCGAAGGGCATGAAGGTGCACGGTGCTATCTCATCTTTCTTCTCGTCGCTGAATCGTTCAGGATCGAAGCGCTTAGGATCCGGATGATATTTAGGATCACTGTGAAGGCCGCGTAACGCGACGTATACCGGTGTCCCTTTTTCGATACTTATGTTCGTGCCGGGAAACTGTAATTTATTCATTAATTTGATGCGAGCTGGCTGAAGAATCGATTGTTGAAAAGGCATCTGATCTTTTTACAACCTGTATAATGTAGTTTATAACATACAAATGACATCTTACTGTGTAATCTCGGATGGGAACCCTGTCGAGGATCGGCGCGGGCGGATACAGTCTTAGCGTTTCGTTGATCACTTGATGCAAATACTTCATATCGTGCACCGCCTCATTTGTAACGCCGTTCGCGGCCTCGATCTTTTCGAGGATCTCCTGCCTCACGCGTTTCTGCATTTCCGGATGCTTAGCCAACTCACAAAGGACGTAAGTCAAAGTGGTGATGCTGGTCTCGCGACCGGCCACAAAGAAGATTGCCGCTTGAGCGAGAAGAACGTCACCCTCGAATCCTGAAGCACAATGAATTGTAAAAGTGTTAATAAAAATTTATCCGCAAAATTAAAAGAACATAGTGTTAAATATAGTTGTTTAATTTTGAATTTCATTTAATTGATCTAAAACGTTGTCTCGCACATTTTGTGATTCAATTTATTTTTAACGCTAATTTTGCATCTATGCACAGTGTCCCATTTTAAACGATCACCTCTCAGTTTTTTATTTTTAATAAAAAAAAAATATTAAAAAAAAATTTATTACCCTGCAGACGTTGCATCTAGTGGTTCCAATACCGGACGAAATTTTAATACCGGTATTTCGGTACTGAAATTTCCTCAAAACCGATAATACCGGTATCTTTCGGTATTGAAATTTTTTTTCTAAATAGTCTAATATATTAAGTAAAATTCAAAATAGTTCTTAATTGGAAGATAGATATATTGTTCTAATTTTATCATTTTAATTTATTAATTAGGATTGTTTTGATAACAAATAATATAGTACTTATATTTATAATATAATAATAAAATAAAAAGTAGCCATATAAAATTATACAAAAAAAATTCTTAACGTTATTAACGGTATTTATAATATAGGAGGATAGCAGAAAACAAAAATTATTACTCATTTTTTTTTATAAAATAAGACCTTAAAAAGGTTAAATTATCAATGCTTTCATCAGAAAGACTTGAACGAACTTTTGTTAATAACAATGCAGAGGCAGAGAAAGCTCTTTCTGCCTCCACACTAGTTGGTCTTACAGTTTTTAAATAATTACAAACACAACTTAAATATTTGCCCTTTATACCTTCTTCGTTATAATAATTCATTTCGGCTCTGATTATTTTTCTAATTTCGTTTTTTGATTTATTCTTAATTTTTGTAACTTGTTTTGTTCTTTCTAGTACCCTTTGTTTAAGTTTTTCTTTTAGAGTCAATTGTGAATTTGTACTGTCATCAGATATTTCAATGTTGACGTCATCTGCTTCCTCGCTATCTATGTTTTCACTTTCAATAGCTTTTGTAGCAACATTAAAATATAATCTTTTAATTAGACTAATAATTTGAGTTATAAAACTTGATTTAGATGTCTGATTAAAGATGCCGTAATTTTCATGTTCTTTTTCTTGTATGTTAGGTTCTTGCAGAAAGTTAAACAAATCTGCATACTTATAACGTCGTTCTGATATCCGATTTAATAAAGCTGTTTTAAGTTTTTTGCTAAGAAAACTTTCTTGCTTAGATAACTCATCAAGCATAAACTCCAACATGATATCTGCTTGATACAAATCAGTTTCTCGAGAACACAATGTTTCGACAGCAAGTTTGACAGGGGCCAAAGTCGCTATAATAGAAGAAACCATGTCTAATTCTTCTTTTATAAAAAAGATTTCAATTTTAGCATCAATTAAAGCTTTTTGTACGCAACTTTTTAATTGATAAAACCGCTCTAACATGAGTAGAAGACTATTCCATCTAGTTTTACAATCTAAAATTAGCTTTAATTCTTTGCCTAGTTCAGCTTTGACATGCTTTTGTAGAAAATCGTCATTTCTAGTCGGAGATTGTCGGAATATTCTTACTACTTTCCTAATTTTTGCAATTAATGGCCCTATAATCTCATTTAAATGTATCTCATCATTAATTTTTTGTTCTTCATTATGAATTTGTAAACCTAAATCTTCATCAGAATCAACTTCATCGTTTTCAGAATCAACTTTATTTTTATCAATGACTTTTGAGTCTGACACTTCACTCTCTTTATCTATTTCGTCAAAATATCTCTGTTCTATTTGCCTATTATATAATACTTCTAATATAGCTAGTTGAATACTATGTGCCAAGCAAATTTGTTGATCAGCATTAATTATTTTTCCCACTTTCTTCATTACGGATGCGCCATCCGTTGTAATGGCAATGATATCATAATCCAAAGATATATTATATATTTTCAATTTAGCATCAACAATATCAACGCACTTTTCAGCTGGCATCGTCCCATTCACACGACATAAACCAAGATTCCAAAACATTTTATCTGTTGCATGCACATTCAAGTTTAAATATCTTCTATTTTTAATCGATGTCCATTCATCGAAAGTCAAACTAAATTTTTGACCATCTAGTTTTAATTTCTTAATTTCTATTTTAAGCTGTTCTCTAACTTTATTGCCATAATTTTTAATAGTATTCGAAACACCGCTTACCGATTTAGGAATATCAGAAAATCCTCTAGATGTTAATCCTAATCTTATATCTAAAGATGTACATATTGTTCGAAAGGACAATCCATCTCGACTAGTTAAACGTGCCAACACTGCAGGTAAAGAATTGTCTGTTTCGTTAGGAAAATAGTGAGTAATTAATCTATTTTTGCTAGAAATATTTGATTTTTTGGATAATGTGTAAGAACTGCATGACGATGTCGAAGCCGCACTCTCATTTAATAATGTTGTACTTCTTTTTAGCAAACTTTTATTATAAATTGCCTTCAGATGCGTGTGCATACCACTAGTGCTTCCTCCCGCGCAATGGATTATTTTGTCACATGTCGTACACTTGCATTCATTTTTGTTCGTTTTGCCACGTAAAAAGTAAAACCAAACGGAATCTTTGTTATTAGAATTTCTATTAAATTTCTCAAATTCTTGTTTTTGCATCATGTCTGGAATATTAATGTACATGTTATTTATAATAAATAATCTAATAATTAAGCAAGTACATACCTCTGTTTTAAAAAATTAATTTTTATTATATATTCAATATCTGTGATACTGATTATTTTGATGTGATCAACAATTATTAGAATTATCTGGAAATCCTGCACTTATATAGTTGCTTGGTTCCATGGTTACACAAAACACAAGACGCAAATGGGGGAATCCCTCTTGTTATAAACAAATAAAGATCAAAGGGCAAGGCGCAAGCGGTTATTTACGAATAGCGCTCATCTATTTGTTTACTGCAGGCGCGACAAACTCATTGTTTTAAATTTGAAAAAAGTTTAATACCGAAATATTGGTATTTAACATCAATAATATCGGTATTTTCGGTTTTGGATTTTGATCGATATTACCGGTATTCCGGTTTCGATAATACCGGTATTGGAACCCCTAGTTGCATCGTGACAGTAAAATTATTTTCAATTTTTTAAACTACAAGGTCAAAAAAATTTTTGTCAGCCACAAGAATTTATTATCAGAAATAGAGAATCTCATTAAAAAAATTTGAAAGTGACCTTCAAAAATTGATTTTCTTTAAAAATGATTTTATTTGTCCCCTTCCTTTGTTTATTACTTCTGTATTATACATTTGTATTCACTAATATTAATATTAGGAAAATTTACTATATAAAACTTAAAAAAAATAATTTAAGAACACTTTTTTATTTATTAAAGAAATTTTTTAAGTTTTTGAAGAGTAAATCCTATTTTAAAGTGTTCAAATTTACTCTTCAAAACTTTTAGAAAGTTCTATAGTAAATCAAAAAATTTTCTTGCGTTATTTTTTTTAAGTTTTAAAAAGTAAATTTTCTTAAAGGGAATACTCACGAAAATTAATACTATCTGGCTGCTCGTTTTTTAATTGCAGAAGGGAATCGATTAAGTCTCCCCGTTTCATCTTCGTGATGGTTCTATTATCCATAGATTCCCAAAAGACCTTGCGGAAGTACTCCGTGCTGTCACCAAGCATCTTGTTGCGTAAATGTTTTCCGATATTCGGCAAGAAGAATAGGAAGAAGAATTTTATAGCTCTCACAAACGTCAAGTTAAAGGCCTCACGTGCTATGTAAATAGGCAAAAATATACGTTATGCATATTGCGGAAAATTGCGTGGCTAGTTTTATGTATTTATAATTTTACTAACACTTAACATAAAATTCCGGGTTAGGTGTATCAAAACAATTTGTTTGTATCCCAAACGCCAAGGAGGCCACTATATTTGTAGTGTATTTATAGAATACGTCCTTGATGGAAATTGATTTGAACTTGGAATCATTGGAGATTTGACTACGTAGATGCGCACCCATTAGTTCTCCGGATTCCACCATCAACAAGAATAGACTTTTCAATTTGCCGCTCGTGAACACCGGTGACATTTTTGTTCTAAACAAAAAACGGATAAAATCGTTCGTTAATTCTCTTTCCAATCACATCAAAAGCAGCAAGCGCTAACAGTCTTGATCTTGAAGAGATAAGGAATCAAATAATATTGATAGAAACAAAGTAAATACTATAAATCAATGAACTACAATATATAAAATAAGAAGATAAAGCATAAGTATTAAATAATGTATTCTCTTTATCTTTTTTGATAATATCTCTTTGATATAGCTCTTATAATGATTTTTTAATAATATTTTGCAATAGTCGGTTTGCAAATATTATTTTAAAGAATAATTTACGACTTTAAAATATCAATTACACAGTCAACACAATTTTGGCCTACAAACAAAACCAATGATTTCCAATGTATTTTTGGTCGCTGAAAACAATCCCGCATTTAGAATTTGCCTATCACGTCACATTTCCATGAAAAAGGGGGTAAAAGGGGCTAAAAACGTCGATTTTGATCATATTCAACACGTTGTTGCGTCAAAGATAATTTTTTTTAAGATTTCGCTTACGCCATCTTGTGCCACTATCTTTCACCTTCAAAATGATATTTGTTTTATTTTTACACGATCATTTTTCATTGAGTTATGGAGATTTGAAGGTAACCATTTTCATGCATAATAAGAGCGTCAAGTGTTTACGATCGTCTCATTACGTATTGAGTCGTTTCTGCCTGCCCGTTGTATTAGACTCGTAAGTAGCAAACTATTTTCAATTATAACTCGAAAACTAAGCTTTGGACAAAATTTTACAAAAAGAAAAATTGTCTCAGAATTTGTTCAAGAGTATGGCATTGCAAGGACATCAGGTTGTTTTGAATCATCCTGATATTGCTTTGCATAACAATAATTACCTTCAAATCTCCATAACTCAATAAAAAATGATCGTAAAAAAATTATTAAAAAAATCATTTTGAAGGTGAAAGATAGCGAAACAGAGTGGCGTGAGCAAAATCTTAAAAAAAAATTATCTTCGACGCAACAACGTGTTGAATGTGATCAAAATCGATATTTCTGGCCCATTTTACCTCATTTTTCATGGAAATGTGACGTGATTGACAAATTCTGAAAGCGGGATCATTTTCGGCAATCAAAAATACGTCGGAAACCGTTGGTTTTGTTCTTAGGCCAAAAAGTTTGTCTATTTTTGTTGTACTGTGTTATTACTCTTGTGAATCCAAATTATGAGACATGTCTTATATATTTTTACCTTAAATATTTCCATTCAGGATTGCCTATGCCGAAAAGATTGTAGCCGCTCATTTTGTCAGCGTTGCTTCTTGCAACAAAATGATGATTCGGAAACACATTAAAATCTTTGATCATTATTTGCTTTATCAGTTCCGAATTCCTCACGAGCAAAAATGGCTTGAATAGAATGTAAATTCCCAGGACATCATCCTCGTCGTTCCCTTGCTGATACAGTTCACCGAGAATCACTCCTGGCGGTTTGCGCATCAGGATCGCGTCTTTGAAGTGGCCGAAGAACCAATGTGTGGGCAACGAACGTATCCCGCGTCTCTGCCAGTAGGAATGCTTCCACTTCATCCACAGGTAAAGCGTTGCCAAAAGCGATGAGAATATCAAAAGTATATCCAAATAGATGCAGTTGGTCAATATTGCCATTTTGCACACAGAAATCTACTCTTATAAAATTCTGCTCAAATTATTTCTGTAAACCGTATAAAAAAAATATTTCTGATTAAAACTGCACAAATGGTATAAGATTATATATATAAAATTGGATAATAAAATAAAATTTTGTGTAATTTTTATATGTGCTTCGAAGAAACCGTGCAAGTCACATTAAATACAAGATAAAACTGCCGTATTGAAACAAAGTGTCAATATCATGATGCAGCAATTTGTAGAGTCATTTATCAATAATAATCGTAAATGCAGAATCACTCTTGATAATGATATAAGAATAACATGTTGGCGCGTGTTTTGCGCGATTATTAGGAATCACACCCATAATTCAAGGACAAATAACTTCTGCGTAGCATGCAAAATTTTACATCTTTGTTTAGATTTGAAAAATTATTGCTTGGAATAAAAAAGTGGCATGCGCTTAAAATAGTTCTTCGAACATTTTCTTGATATAATCTTTAAACTTTGTATTTTGTAAATCCACTCTTGAAAGAGTTATCTTGAATTGCGTGATAAAATTACGCGTCGCAGTATTCAGTAGCGGATACGCACATGTAGCACAATGTAGCATATATGCTAATATTAGGTGACTCACAAAGAAACATATTCAGATGTGATAGAAATTTTTTGTTATTTAAATTTACTTATACACGTTTTTTATGATATTATTGTAGGATTGAATATATTTATTAGAAAAGTGTATAGTATAGTAGAGTGTACGATCACAGTGTAAGGCCGGTATTCATAGTCCGTTCTTATATTCAAGATCGTCTTAAGCATGAACTTATATTCGCTCTCTTCGTCAGACACAATCTATGGGCCTGTTCGTTTTAGTTGCACTGGGGCAGCTCTGGGTTTGCTCTAAACAAGATAATACAGGACAAACTATTTATCTGTCCTGTATTATTCTGTGTAGAGCAGACCCAGAGCAGCCCCAGTGTAGCTAAAACGAACAAGCCCTATGTGTGACGAAGAGAGCAAATATAAGTCCGTGCTTAAGACGATTTTGAATATAAGAACGGACTATGAATACCGCCCTAAGATTCGGACTTGTCCAACACCACCTATAGACAAGGCCTCTCCACTGAAATCATGACGTCATCACTAGTAGGCCATTCGCTATTCTATTTTCAAGTGCCAAGTATATGCGATTGAACTTTTATATATAATCAAAGTTTTTTATTGTAAATTTTTTTAAAAATAAATATATACCTACACATTGTGGGTTAAAAAATAAGGAAACTAATTTAAAGATTATTAAATTACTTTATTAAATATAATAATAGTAAATTCTTCAAATAAAATAATAAAACAGCTTTAGTTTAATGGTTTCATTCTTTTGCAGTCTGGCATTGTTTTTCTTCTTATGATATTATTTTGTCTTTTTGTGTAATTGTTTAAAAGGATGTTAGAGAGTGTATGCGTAATTTTTATAATTAACATTTTTGTAATTGCCGTTACAATTTGGCACACAGCATTTGAAAGGCATTGCTATAAAAGAAATACATAATTTCAATAATAAAGAAGTATGATCCAAATCTAACCTATTATGGTCAGTTTTCTAAATACGTTCATAATTCGGTAAATTAATAAAATTATGACTTACCTCAATAATACAGGCATTCATCAACTATCACAACAAAAAATTCTTATCAAAACACACTACACTATTAAAAAATTCACGTTAATGTCGCATGAAACACAAGGTTACGTTAGAAAACTGAAAGATAAATAGTCTACTAGTGATGACGTCATGATTTCAGTGGAGAGGCCTTGTCTATAGGTGGTGTTGACTTGTCGCGCGTCGTAATATTATTCTCGCGAAGATTGCTCGAGACTTGTGTGAAGTCTCTTAGCCCCGTACTTTTCAAATTTCAATTTTTTTTAATTGTGCTACATTTGTTCCGATTTATGCCGTAAACGCGAAATTAATAATTAAAATCATATAAATCATTAATAAATGTATCATATAAAAATTTTGAAAAAGAAATTTTTATTAGCTCCACACTTTCTCGCGATCGAATTTCTTTTTTTGGTAAATTAGTATAAATTTGTGCCATGTTGTGCCGTTGGTAAGATCTCGATATCTTTTTCCGTTTAGCTAAAAAAAAATTTTTTTTAAACAAAGAAAATAATATATAAATTATTTTATAATACATTTATCAAATTTTTATAGATTGTGCTATAATGTGGCTCGCTTTGTAGTGATTGTAATAATTATTACAAAAAAGAAACAAACGAAACAAATATAGATAAACGCAAAAGTTGATCAACAACCATCCAAAAAAGTAGGACATAAAAAAAATTTTTTAGATATTTGAATTTTTCTGTTGTGCCGAATTGTGTTAAACGAGCACAACTTTTTTTTGTAACAAGATCGTCGTCAGATTATTGATTTTAATATAACAGAAAGAAATATTAATTTCTTTTGCATTTATTTTTGATCACGACATGAGTTGTCTTGTTAATTATAGAAACCGCATTTGGCGTGATTCAGAACCAACGACGTGGACGTAGCGGTATTTGGTTCCTTTCTGTTTTCATTTTTTTGTTTTTTCTTGTTTTTTGTTTTTCTTGTTTTTGTAGTACAATGCAGCACAGTTAAGAAAAATACGAAATTCGAAAAGTGCGGGGCTAACTTCACACAGGTTCGCTCGAGACTACTCGACACTCGTCTCCTTCCGCGTTTTTATATTATACGAAAAGTACGCAACAACAAGACATGAAAGAAAACTGACAAGTAAACAGTTGTTTCCTTATCGCGGACCGCGGCTGAAGAGTGTTTGCATTTTCGGATGTTTGGCCAACTCGTAGAAGACGCTCGTATAAACTTGTTACTATTAACAGAGAGAAACCTGAGAGAGGCCACGCTGCCGTTTTTCGTACGACGCTTTCTCTAGGTCACTGCTCGGAATTAGTTGAACATTTCAGCCGATTTCCGCGGTATACGCCTCCTTTCCTCTCCTTACCGCGCGCGCTGCAGCCGCTAGGGCCAGCGCCGCCGAGCGTTAGGAGCGGCACTTTTCTGATTATGAGTAGGTTCTTCTCCCTATTTATTAAATTAAAAAATTTATTAAAATAAAAAAAAATTTATTAAAATTTATTAAAAATAAATTTTATTTTAAAATTTATTAAGTGGAAATATTTCAATAGATTTCCACGTCACCCATGAGGTACTAATGCTGACGCGTTTTTTTAAAAATAGTGGTTTCTATCTACATTATATTGCATCAATTGTTCATTCTCATAAAAGGCCAAAAAAATGTAATTAAAAAAATCTCTTTTATATATTTTTTTAAATTAAGAATTTGTTATTTTTATTTTTAATGGAATATGGAATGAGAAAACCACCAAGTTCACGCGCAGCGCGCATACTGCGCGAATATTATACTTCAAAGCAATGAAATTAACATGTAGTTTATTGTAGCAGCGTTAAGTTTTTTTGCGTTTTTTAATAAATATTTTTATTTTTAAATATTTTTTATTTTATTTTTTGTTTCTTTATTTATGTATTTATTTTTTTATAATATATATAGTATATCTAATAATATGTATAGTATATATAGTATAGTATATGTAAAATATGATAAAATATAGTATATAATATAATTAATTA